GCTGCCCTCATGTGGCATGCCCTGCAGGTGCCACCAGAGGCAAGCAAGCAGAGGCACGGAAGGCACTCCAGAAAACTCTCCAGAGGGCCTGTAAAAGCATGAAAGGAAAAGGCAAGCAGGAAGGAAGAGGAATAATGCAGTCAGCAGCCTGGCCTCAGCTTCACCCAGCACAGCGAGGTCATGAAAGCAGGATACTCCGTTGAGCAAGGGGTCACTGTGTGGATCCGCTCTCTCCCCAGATGCCAGGGGGAACAAGAAGGGCTCTAGAGCATCGCAGTCCATTTGCTCCTCACTGTTTGCGGTCTGCAGTTATCTTTGCCCACAACCCCCTCACGGCTAAGAAGCTGAGTGCCACCCACCTTCCACGTGCCAGAAAGCCTTTAGAGGGCAAAGCGAGGCAGGAGAAAGGCTTTTACTCACCCAGAGGCTGCAGAGGGACTTCCAGCAATTGGGGCAGTAATAAAACTCCATGCCCCCAGACAGGGAGCTCCCCATCCTGTTGCTCTCGGCTCTCAGCAGGAGGTTGGAGCAGGCCGAGCCAATTCAAGGGAGCGTGAATAATTCAGAGCCCAGCTCCCCAGGACAGAAGCAGCAGACGCACAGGAGGGGCCCCACGTGGGGGCAGCCCCGGAGGAGCTGTGAGGACCAGGGGAACCTTTGCTGCCCCAAGGCCGAGGGGGGGCCCTCTCCTGAAACATGGAGGGGCCAGAAGCTTATCTCCACGCTCCCCAGGGACTGAACTGCTCCAAAACTTGTGCTGCTAAGCGGAGAGAGGCTGCAGCACAGGGTCACCACGCTGACTCTGTGGCAAATGACCTCATTTCCCCCTTCAGCTGCTACAGGAAAGGAAAAAGAAGCTTAATGTTTTCGTTAAAGCTGCTTTTTAAAAATTAAATGGGAGGACAAAATCCCTCCATGGCAAGCAATTGTTCGGCACTCTCCCATCCCTGGAGCATCTGAAACGCAGAAGGGGCAGAGAACCTGCAAATTATTTATCAGCATCTCTCTCAGATCATCACCACGCTGCTTCTTATCAGATGGTGAGAGGCGGCGGGGAGGGAGATGCTCTCTGAATTTGCAGGCTGTGCACCTGGACATTTACCCACCAGTAAGATTAACCTCTCTGTATGATGTACCCTTGTACGCCCCGCCGGTTAAAAACCACTGAGTGCCTTAGAGAAGAACCAGTTACAGCACGCAACCAGAGCACAAAAGAGAGCAGGACCGAGGCTGGGCTGCAGATCCTCCCGGCCTCCCCACCTGCACCAGGGAAAGGAACTTGGAGGCCTGCGTCAGCCACACTCGGAAGCCCGGTGAAGTCAAGGCCCTGAAGATGGTGCCCACCGGGTGGCACTCCAGCTCCCTCCCCGGCTTAGGGAAGGGGGAGTTAAATTCATCCGGAGGGAAGGGTGCCACAACAGCCAATGGTTACGAGCCATCTCACCACAGCCATTTGCAGGTCTTCCCCTGCCCTCCTCCATGAAATCAGAGGAGCTGCTGCAAAGGGAATTCAAGGCAGCACTTTGGGGGAGGTCATGCTCAGGTCATGTTTCCATAAGGAAATCGAAAATCCTTATCTCCTCCACCCACAGCACTGCTCACGATGCACCGTGGATAAATAAAGGGTTTTCTCTCCCTTCCTCCCTCCTTGCTCAGGGCCTTAGGTGCCTATTGGTGAGGCTGAAAACATATATAAATGAGACATCCCTTGCTTGTTCCTCTCTGCCCTAAGGAAGCATCCGGCACGCTGTAATTAAGCAGATCTGAGGGGCTTGGGAACTTGCTGGTGCTTGAAGGGATGGGTGCCAGCGATTGTTTTCAAGGCTGGGATCTTTCCACTCCTCCAGACACTCCACATGCCTGATAAGCTCCTAGGGCGGAAACAGAAAAACCTTCCTCTGCATGGCAAGAGCGTGACGTGGAACCACTGCCATTAGGCTGGAATCGTGCCACCGAGGCTTTCTCACCACACCCAGGTGACGAGCACACCCTGCATGAACTGGGCCTCCTCGGCCGATTGGTCCAACCGGGTCCCAGAGAGGCTCCGAGGGTCGCAGGCGTGGAGGAGATGGTCCGCCAGCCAGCTGCCATGGATCGCAAGGCAGCCTCGGGGAAAGCAAAGGCCCGCTAGTGCTGGGAGGCCTCCCGTGCCAACTGAGCTCTGCCCGGTGGGCCCGCCTATCTCACAGCAGGCAGGCAGAGGGGCTCAGCCAACCTGCCATGAAAGCGGTTCTTCTGAAGTCGGGAAGGGTGATGTGTGGCAGCTGGACACTGCTGGAGAAACCGCCAACCTCTCCCTTTGCCGGGGGGGCAGGGTGGGGGGCTCTTAGATACCCAGAGGGTCCATAGACTGGGATTCAGGCCCCCTCCTGGAGTTGCTACCTGGATGTCAGAGCTGGACTCAGGGCCTGGCAATCCACAACTCCCTCTCCAGCACCCCAGACATGCCCTCAGGAGCTTACGGGAAAGAGTCAAGGACAAGGTAGGTCAGTGGTTTTTATTGCAGACACGCAAAGCTCTAACCAGGCAGTAGAAGTGCTGCAACATCCCATAATCTTGGTTGCCATTTTCCACACCCTGGGAGGGCTTATCCCTCACAGTCCCCCACCCACCGCCTCCTCTGGCAAGGGGCTCCCTGGCCCTGGACGCGGAGGGAGGGCACCCACACCCTGCTTGGATCGCGGCCTTGTCTGCTCTCAGCCCTTTGCCTCAGCCCTCCCAGGAAGTGACAGTGTGGGGCCGTGGCCAGCCCCAGCCATAAACTGAAATGCCAGGTCCGACCTTTAGTCAAGGCCGGGAAGGGTAACTCACGTCCAGCCCCACCTCAGTGGTGCCTGTTCCCCTTCTGGGGTGAACCCGACGTAAAATTCAAAGGCCAACAGAAGCAAACGCCACCCCATTCAGGAAGGTTAAGGACAACATAACCCAGGTTCTTCTATCTTGCTAAGGAGACACGGTTTCTGGAATAATCCACAACCAACTGGGTTCAGCCAAAATGCTAAGCCGTAAACCACAGTGACTGGACTCGCCTCCCTGCTAAGCCACAGACAAGCAGACCAGCTGGTTGAGAGCCGAACTGTAACAACCACCACAAAAAATCAAGATGCTGGACACCACGGACCACAGTCCGTTCCCATCGCAAGGCCTGGGAAGAGCTGTAGGGCCGTCTTGCCCCCAAACCCGTTCCAGCCCGCCTGCTCTGGGCTGCTGCTGGAAGCGCCCAGCTGGACTCTCCGCTCAGAAGCCACTCTGCAGGGAAATTAGCTGTGGGGGGGAGAAGGGCCATGGGGCAGGATTCCGTTCCACTCTGTGAGCCCCTTAGAAGTCAGAGACTGTCAACGTCTTTTTGCTAAAATAAACAAGGGAGTAGCTTCAAGAGCCAGGAGCCCTTGCCGGACTCCGGTTCTTCCTCAGGGACCAAGTCCGGCCAGGACCTTTCCACTCTGCTTCAGCTCTCCAGACTTTCCTGGATGTCCTGGGCACAAACCAGCCAACTGCACAATTCGGGCTGCCCCCCCTCACCCTTTCAATCTTGTCACACGTCAGCTACTCGGAGGTTGACCAGGAAGACCGGTGGGAAAGGGAGTTGGCCGTGATGGCGTGACTGACTACAGCACACTTTCATGGCAATTTGGAAGAACAAAGTTCCACGCCGATCTCTCCTGCAGACGAGTGGCAATTAAAACATCGATCTACGAGAGGCCAGAGGCCCTTTCCCTCCACCTTCTCCAGGGATCCCTCTGCTAAGCAGTAACGGAGCTCGATCCCCGCCTAACCTGGTTCTGCATTCCGCTGGCTTTGCCATCTCCCTCGGGGTCTTTTCACCCAGTTGTGTGCAAGCGGCTGGCCATAACGCAGCACGAGGCCTCGGAGTCCTCCCGAACCATGACGGTGTGCCGAGTGGAGACTAACCCTGGCCTGCTCCTTGGAACCATCAACCACTGACCCACGGAAGCCCAGGGAGACTTTCCATGAACCAAAGACAGCACGCAGCCCTTTGCTAAAGGGCTGCTGTGTGCGTAGCCAGCCCTACGGGATGCCCAGAAGAGGTCTGGCAGCCTAGACGAGGGCAGAGCAGAGCAGAGGCTGCAAGCACTTACCCCGGACCAGTGATCGGTTCTCCTTTCTTTATAGAAACTGTGACTCCGCCGCTGCATAAGGAGGTAGGGAGAATGCCTGGTTCCGGCACCATCGTGGTCCTCTTTGAGGCTTTCCTTTTCAAGGCCCTGCGAGGAGGAGACACGTCAGATGGAGAACAGCATCCAGCGACGTCACGTCAACCCTCCCGGTGCTCATCCCAGGTGCCTCCAGGTGGGCTAGATGCCCACTCCCAAGGCAGCCGGACCCCGCCCCGCCCCACCCCCGCCTCGTTCCTGCCACATACCCTGTCCCCTTCGTGGGAGAAGCAGTCCCTCGGAGATGGGGCTCCCTTGTTCACCCGGGCCCCCGGCCTTTCAGGAGGGAAGCTCCGACAGATGCGGTGCTCATCCAGCCTCGCACCCAAAGGTAAGCCGGGCCTTGCTTGGGCCTGACGGGCCTTTCCAGAGGAGGAACACTTTGGGTCCGGCCAGGCATCTGTCCCCCGGCATGTGGCACTGCTCCGTTCCGTCCCGGTCTGCGCTGCAGGAGAGTCCGTCTCCCAGACGCCAGCGTGGGTATCAGCTTTCCTCCCAGTTTTGCCACCCGAGTCACCGCTGGGGCACCACCCCCCAGCTGGGGCCAGAACCGCCCACTGCCTTGGGCTTGCTTCCTTCCACAAGGCTCCCAGGTCCATACGAACAGGTTGGAGAGTGGCATCTTCGGCACTCTGCGGGCCTCGCCTGATGCCCTCTCCTTGCTCCTTGCCAACAAAGAAGGATGTCTTTGTCCTTGGGCCCACGGGCTCCGCAGACCAACGCTTTGTTTCTTCTATGTCCGGCCTGCCCCAGTGAGGAGGGCTGTGTTTCCCATCCCTGGCCCTCAAAGGACTTGACTCCTGGGTGCAGATTTCCAGCGGATCGCTCCCATGTGTGCGGCCATTCTCACAACTGCTGGCATCAGTGCCTGGCCTTCTGCTGCCCGGGGAGCGTTCCACCCTTGTCACCTCTCTCTGATCAGAGCTGCAAGAAATGCTCCCCGTAAAATTCCTTCTGGACGGCAATTTCTCCCAAGGAAATAAGGTACTTTCTTTCTGGTCTTCCATCCCAGAAACCTTCTGAGAGTCTCCCCCATATTCTGCCATCAGCTCATCAATATCAACCACTCTCGATCGGTAGCAATCAGTTGCCTTCTCCTGCCGGAGAGACGCCAAGTAGGACGGGGACCTTGCTGCAGGGCAGGGGGGAGGATCAGCTCCAGCCGGATGCCCTTCAGCCTCCTCTGGCTGCCGGTGGAGCAGCTCCCGGCCCCGCTCTCTTGCCTCGGCCAGTGGATGCTCAGAAGCCCCTTTCTCCGGAAGATCCAGGGCTGCTCGTTCTCCCCTGTGCTTGCTAAGAGGCCTGTCTGGGGAGCTCGGGGACTCTGGAAAGCACTCCCTGTGCTGCTGATTTGAGGGATCAGCTCTTCTGGAACTGCTCACATGAGGAGCCACAGACGCATCTTTTCCAGGCTTGTTATTGATTTCCTCTGAAATTTGGCAAGTAACTGCAAAATACATGGCCTTGGGCTCTGAAGGAGAGAGTTGCTTTTTAAGGCTGCTGGGAGAGGTGACCTCTGCCTGCCTCAGATCTATTCGATGGGGGGTCTGGGGGCTTCTCTTGGCGATTGAGCAATCCAAAAGATGCAAGGCGTCCCTTCTGCTCGCCAATTCTGTAGTGCCTTGAGAGGGCTCCCTAACGTCCTCAAACCTGGCAGCGCTGTGGGGCACAGTTTTCCTTCGCCACCTGTCTGAAACCTTTGGAGCAGAAACGTTACGGAAGCTGCTCTTCCACCTCGCTTCTAGGTCAAGCGGTTGCAACTGATTTCCTTCCGTTACGCCGCCCAGCTTTTCTTGGGCTCCACCCCTGGCCGAGCACATCTTCTGTCCTTTGAGTTCCTCCGGCTCAGAAGGCGGCTTCAAGTCCAGGCTTGAGAGGAGCCCGGTGCAGCTGACCCTTTGCCACTGGCTGGTCCCAGGCGGAGAGGCCTGGTTCTTGCGCCCGGCGGCAAGGGACGGAGTCGACTTCTGACCAAGCACACCAGCCCTGTTTTCGCAGCCATCTGCCTCGCGCACCCCAGTTCCAGCCCTCTCAGGGAAGCAATCCAGCATTTTGGATCCCTCTAGTGCACCAGCAGGAGCAAGTGTCTTCTCTCTTTCAGTTTCTAAGCACGGTGCAAAGATGCCGTCATCCTTCGTCCTGCTGGTGAATGATATTGCCTTCTCAGAGGCCAGCTGCTGTCCGGCCTGATTTCTGCCCAGCCCGGTCCCTTCTCTGTGGACAGTACGCTGGCTCCAGGAGGCAGGAAGGTCTTTCAATGGGCTTGTTCCCAGGGCAGGGCCTTTTGGATGCGGACCCCCTCTCCAGCCATCACTCTCATCCTCAGCACCCCTGCTGGCTCTCCGGCTCTCCTTCAAAGATCTCTCACGACGGAGAGTGACGGCCTTCCCTTCGGGGACGGCTGCAACGGCCTCGCTTTGTACTTTTTCCCCCAGAGTCTGCAGAATCTCATATCTGGGCTCGATCCTTTGGTACAGCAGGGAATCCTCCATGCGCTTTGAAGCCGGTTTCTCGCGCTTCTCCTTCACGGGGTTTTCTGCCCACACCAGGGCCAGAGAGCCTTTATCCTCAGTTAAAGGTCGGGGATCTTTGGGTTTTCCGGCATCCCCTGACAGGTCAGTCTCCCGGGTGGAGCCTTTTGTAGACTGTCTAACTCCCAGCACTCTCTCCTTCCACAATTCCTGACAATGGCAGAACAACTCTCCAGAGGACTCCATCAGTGGCAGCAACGATGGTTCAGCTCCAAGCTGGTTGGCAACCACGCTGTGTCTTTGCACATGATGTTCAAACATGGTGGCCCTGACCGTTTTCAGGCAGGCCTCTTCAGTGGGAGAGCTGGAGAACATTTTTGCCTTGGGACTGAGGACCAGGCCAGGACGTTCTCCTGGCAAAGAGACGTTTTGCCTGCCTTTGGTAAAGCCGCCCTCTCCCTCTGGGGGTCCTTCTGTGGACGGTGCTTTTGCCAACAGTGGGGGCTTCCATGGACTGCCAACCGTGCAGGCTTCTCTAAAATCTGTTCCACCTGCAGGCAGCGTCTCATCCTGAAACAAGCAGAAATACGCAACTATTAAGAAGGTGTTTTGGGCACCTGTTAATTGACATCTGCCATGTCCAGTCTTTCTTTGCTGAAAGTGTTCAGGAACATGGTGTTGCAACACCTTTGTCTTTTTTCTTTAAATAGTTCATAGCAGTATATTAATTTAAATAATGCAGAAAACAATACAAAGTATATTGTATTCCACCAATCCATCCAACAGTGTGCATAGGTATTTGCCCCTTAGTTTTAAACAACGTCTTTACATTTCAAGTGCTGGTTTGGTCAAAAGAATGTTCCACCTCATCAAAAGAAGCTTTTTCTCATGTTAAGGGGACTACACTAGATTTCAGGGCACATATATTCAAATATAAAAGTATTTGAAAGGTTTGGAAAAACGTATAAAATCATGACAAATGTTTATTGAACTGGTTATTCTTACAAGCCAAACTATCACACACACCTCACACATGTATATGCAGACCTACACTTTCCCTTGTATGGAGGTCAGCTGGGAACCTTTTGGCATACAGCCAGTTAACCAGCACAGCTCTCTGACGGCTCAGTGAATCACGATGAGGAAATGTTCTAGAAAGGGCTGGGAGGAACACAAAGGTATTGTATGGCCGTCCTGCTACTTAGGGAATGCTGAAAAGGGGCATTACACCCTCCTTAATCTTGGTGTCCTCCAGCTAGGCTGGGACTTTGGCTCCCATAATGCTCATGCTGGCTGGGGGGTTATGGAAGGTGAACCCTAACGAGGTTTGGGAAGACTGGCAGAACAACTAGAATGTGATCTAATTTACTGGACAAAGGAGAAAGGTAAGGGACAAACCCACAGCGTACTGTGACCCTGGAAAGGTGCCTAAAGCAATCCTACGCACGTGTTGGTAGAAAAAACATGATTTTCAGTGCTCTCCAAAACGGCAGAGAAGGCATCAGCAGATGAAACTTCTAAGGGCCGTGCCGTGCTTAACGTGCCCACTCCACTCAGAGCTGTACAGGCCGCCTCTTATTTAGAGACGGATCTCGGGTTCTTTCCTTACCCCTTGAGCATCCTGTATCTCACTGACAGGCTTCCTGGTCCATTCGGGCTGCCTCCTCGGCTTCATATCACTTGCAGTCACGGGGCCAGAAAACCTGTTTGCAAAGATTCCGAACCATGAAAGAAGAAAAAGATAAGAAGGGGAAAGGTTGGCAATACGCCCCAGCCTTTGTATCTGAAATGCAAGCAACCAGCATGTTGTTTTAACATGCTTCCAGAAACTTAGCCCTGGAAAACTTTCCCGCCCCCTTCCCTAGCATCAGTCTGCCCACATGCAAAAGGGCATCATCCTTGGGTTCAGTCCAGCCTCGCGTTTGTCCTAGATCCAAGCTCATCCCAGACCAGATCCCCGCTGAACATTTCGGCACCATTCAGATTCAGACAGAACTAGTACAATTATCCATAAGCTTCAACCATACCGGACCTCAATTTTTGTTAGTTCGGAATTAAAACTGAGCTTTGTTCTTTCTTGCGTTACAAATTCTTCCTAATCAGGACAACTATCAGCTTCAAAGCCCAGAGGATGCTTTCCTAGCATGCTGTAATACTTTCCCCAGCTTTAGACCATCCAGATGTGCTGGATTTCCACTCCCATAATCCCCCAGACAGCACATCTGGGGGAGGGAAACCCAACACATCTGGAATGCACCAACTTAAGGTAGCCTGCTTCACACCAGCGTTTTCCATCACTTACACCTTTGTCAAATCTGTGGAGAGAGGCCGTGACCGGAACGAGCGACGCAAATTTTCTGGCTTGAAATCAGTATTCTCTGCTGTCAGTTCTTTAATTCTCTGTTGGATGTTCAATATCCGATTCTCTTTTCCAGGGCTGTTGAAGAAAGACTCGGTCTCAGTGGGAATCCAGTTGTTTGCCGAGGCGTCTAGAAGTGGAAGAGTCTTTTTAACGCAGCCTCTGTTTTTGAGATCCAAGGTATCAGGCGGGTTGGCATTCCTTAAGCCAGCCTCCTTGGGAGGGAGCTCTACCTTCTCTCTCAGAGCCTGGCCTTTGCTAGCATTATATTGCCCCACGCTGGGTTTCCCCGGGCTTTCTAGCTCCCACAGATCCTTCCTGTCCTTTGCAAAGATTTGCCCCGAGTCTTCTGGAACGGCCTGGCCCGGGGGAGCCACTCCGCCTGCAGAGGGCAAACAGCTTTGGGTAGAGCCTTGGCTTTTCGCACTGGGAGACTCAGCCAGCTGACTGGCACTTTTCACTCTGGGACTACAAGGCTCAGCTACGCTGAAGCCTGCTGCTTCGCTCTTTGCCGCCATGGTCTCCAGGGGCCTGCCCTTGGCTGCAGCAAAGCTCTTCTCCCTGCTTTCAGCCAGACAAGATTTCTTCTGGAAGGAAAGCTCTCGGTTTTCAAATTTGCCCGTGAGATCCGCAGAGAGTGGCCTTGGTTTTTGAACCCATAACCCGGAAGCAGCCTCAGGAGGAGTCGGCTGCGTTTGTTCCTGACATGATTCCAGAAAAACAGCCAACGATGCCAGTCTCCCTTGGGCCTGTGAGTGCGTCTCAGGGGCTAGACTAGGGTGCTGCTGTGGTTCAACACTGCTAGCCAAACCCTTGGGGGCACCCGAAAAGATCTCCTTCCTTTCCAGAGACCTGTGAGGGCTCCAGGAGACCAGGCTGGGATCTGTGGAGAGGGAGGGCTGCCTTCTAGACCACCTCTCTGATGGGGAAGACAGAAGCTGCCCCTCCCGGGCCTTTCGAGGACCTCCTTCATCTTCAGCCTTCTCCTTCTCAGGGCTCCTGCTTTCCAAGAGGATGACGGTGTTGGCCTGGGGGCTCAAATAAAAGGGCACGGTGGCAATGAGCTCCCTGGGGCTTTTGCTCCCAATTAATTTTTGATCTAGCAGCGGCGGGACGTTTCCAGTGAATCTCTCGGCAGCATCTTCAAAGGTCTGGGCAAAGGTGGGGGACTCTGGAGTAACACTGCCTGGCTTGAGTCCTGGGACAGGTGGTTTCACCGCAGCAAAAGCATCGGAAGACGTCTCACGGGAGAAGGGCTTGGGGGTCAAGCGCGGCCTTGATGCGGCGGAGGGCACGGTGGCCGGCCTCACGGGATTCCCCAGCTTGTTTCCGCCCTCCAGAATCAACGGGGCCAGAGAACTGGGGTCCTCCCTGGGCTTCCGGCTTGGGTCAGACAGCGAGCTGATGAAGGAGTGCTGGAGCATCGCTTCGTTCCTTGGTTCGCTTCTACTGGCCAGGGAGGTCAGGACAGAGCCCACTTCAACTTGTGTGGCCATTTCTCTTCTCAAAGGCCTAGCAGAATTGGGAGGGGGAGGGTCCCGCGAGAAGGAACGCTCTATGAAAAATGGAAATACGAGGCATTCAAATGTGAGTCGAAGCAAGAGCCCGATGTTGAAGGGCTGTTCTGACAATCATATTCCTACAGAAATATTGCAAATAAAGCAATAATAGTAGCAGCTTTCATGCCCGCAAAAATGATTTCCACCCAGGCTTCTGAATCTCTGCTCTCCAAAAAGGCATTTTACGCACCCACCTAGGTGACCTCACCCCATTCTGCCCGTTTTCTTTTAAGTCCCAATACATAAACACACAGGCACACGCACAAGCACACACACTCGCTCTTCATCACCCCACTCCCAAAGAATACATTTTGTGTAACAACAAATTAGCCTCCCAACACCAATCAAGCCCTCAGTTCTATTCACAAGAAGACCTTTCACACAACCTGAGCTTCCTGGGCCATTTCATAATGATGCCACTGGAGGAGGGGGCTGACTCTGTCGAGGATCACTTTGAAGCAGATCTTCTTGAGGTATCTCAGAAGAACGGCTCAAGAGAAAATGAGCCTCGGGGATTCGGTGGGTGCGGCTCCTGTGAATTGAAAGATATCCAGTGGCCAAGGAAGGTCCAGGCTGCCTACAAATGCCTGCTCAATTGTCTCTGGCCGCTCAATTGGCTGAGGAGCAGACCGCCCCCCTGAGCTGCCATGCTTCCTGAGCGGGGACAGCCTCTGAGGGCGAGGACAGGGTGCAGCAGCCCCAAAGTGAGCAAATGCCCAGAAGCCCCATTGCTCAGCACAGTTGGTCCCTCTAACCAGGACTTCGGTGGAGGCCTCCAATCGGGATGCCTCTGGGTCATCGTTCATATTGCAAGAGCAATGGCACAGCTAGGCAGACAACCGAAGGGCTGAGAAGCCCTCCTTGGGAGGAAAGGCCTACTCGGAGGTCAGTATTATTCCCACATCTGGATAGAGGGAGACCTGCAGCTTTGGAGACAATTTGGGGCCAGACTGAGGAGATAATTCCTTCTTTCACCTTAAGGGGATCCTGTAGATTCTTGCCTCCTACCCCAGGACTGGCAGCTCAGACCCAAATCCAGTTTCTTCCCTGATCTCACTCCTTCTTTGTCCCCTCTGCTTTCTGGAATTGCCGACTCCAACTCCAGGATGGTTGTCAGACCTCATCTCTGCTCCACTCCCTCAAGAGAAGAGACCAACCGCGCCAGTTCTCTGTCTGGCAAGCACAGAGTCTCTTCCTGGGAACAGGACAGACAATCTGGGAATTTAACTGGCATTTTTAAAAAAACCTCAACGTCCAAATAAAAGCAACTAATCGATATTTGCATGCTAAGCGCTTCATTCGAAAACAAACAGCTGATTCACGCCTAGTTACCTGCCAGCAAAGAGCTCTTGAGTGGAGTTTGAGGGCACTGAGGCTGAGGGCAGCTTCAAGGCCTGGTCTTAGCTGGGGAAAGGACCGCAGTCAACTATTTTGTCCAAGCAACTTCCCAGGCAATTACATTCCCAGAGCAGGAACAGGATGTGACTCTGCTTTAGCATTTCTTCCAGCGTGTGTTTTCCATAACAAAAAAAAAGCCCCAAATACCCATGAGCTGTAAGTCCAAACACATGCAAAGCAGTTCTCAAATGCAGGGAATGTTCTCTGCACCTCTGAATAATCCAAAGGAAAGCAGCTGCCTTTTAACTGGCTGAATTGCAGCTCTGAGGAGACCCTCACAAGTAGCCTCCCTCACAAGGGAGGGCGGGCAAAGGGCTGGTGGGAGCAGAGGTGCTTCAGCCCGTTTAGGGCTGCCCCAGACAGCCCAGGAAGCCCCGCGCTGCAAGCTCTGGGCGCCTGCTCGGGTCAGAAAGGGGGGCCAAGGGGGCCTTTTCTGGAGCACTTCCCATAACGATGCACCGACTAACTTCGTTTTCAGCCTCGTTCCCCGCGGGGTTTAAAGTCGTTCTGGGCCCCGCTCACGAGCCAGCGAACCGGGTCGGCCCAGAGGGGTTCGGCTGCTGGCGGCCTCGCACTGGGCGTGCTCAGCGCCTGCCATTCCGGGACCTGCATCTCAGACAGCTCTCGTGCACGACAGGAACAAGGCTGCTGCTCTGAGACTTCACATGGTAAGCACACACCGCAGCTGAGTCACGTGCAGCCACAACTCTAGGAGGGAGGAAGCAAAACGTGTGTTTGTTTAAAGGAGAGGGAAATTTGGGCCAAGGATGCGGTGACGGGATTCGGCCGGCTTGCTAATGGCGAGCTGGTCGAGGAGAGAAGGCGACCCGTTCCCTTGAGCGGCTGTCAGAAGGATGGACCGGAATCAAGCTCTCTCCGGGAAGGGCAGGCTAACCCTGACTGAGGTAGAGCTGCGTTCGAGGTTGCGGCGTGGAGCTGGAGGACTCCCCCCAGCCATCCAAAGCTCTTCAGGGGAGGGGGCCGGGCTGGGGGCACGAGCATTGCCCACAGGGCGACGTGTTGCGAGGGAAACGGCCTCGCTGTCTCCAGACTGCCGCAGAGGCCCCCAACTGCCCGTGTTCTCCCTCGCCTCCCCGCCGACGAACGTAGCAGACTGATTTAGGCTTCGCCGCTGTACATCTCTGTGGATCCAGATAAGATGAGCCACAGACCATATCCAGCGTCTGTTCTGATGGGCCTCTTTGCGCCCCTGTTCAAACCCACCGCCAGTGACGGCAGAGAAAGCCACTCCTGCCTGGCCGGCTACGACGGGAAGCTGCCTCGACCGACTCTGCCCGATGAACGCGGAGCTTGGGGCAAGGGCGAGAGGTTGCCTGCGAGCAGCACTGGCATCGGAGAGCTTCCTCTGCTGGAGAGAGGGGCTCTGGGCGCCAGCCTGGCCCGCCCGGGCTGCAAGGCGCCCGTTCGGAAGCAGGGCAGTTCTGCTCGCGGCACAAGGCCGCTGGGACAGATCAGCAGGGGGAGAAGCCTGCTCTTCGGCCTCGCGGGACAGAAGTGCCGGGCCCAGAGGGGGCTCGTTGGCTTAGACAGGAAACGGACTTTCTTTAAATCTTTAACAGAAGTGCAGCAGCGGCTTGTGGCGCTGACTATAAGGAGACGTGTCTCTATAATCAGGGAGGCCTGTGGCCGGACCCTGAAATTACGGTCGGCTCCCGGCAATTTGCGGCTCAGCTCCAGCCGTCCCGAACTCTGCAGGGGGCCGGACGGCGGGCCTTAATCACCCCCAGGCAGGCTGAAACCACACGGCAGGGCGGGGGGGTGACACAGGCCAGGCCGTTCCCTCAGAAGCAGAAGAGCAGAACTTTTCAGAACCTATCATAAAATGCGGGGGGGAGAAGAAAGGGCTGCCACGGCCGCACGAAGGGAACTGGGCCCGTCTCTTTCCTTCCGCAGAAAAGAAAACCATCTGCACCTGGAGAGCAGAAAAGCAGCAGCAGGGGGCCGTTTGGCAGAATTCGTTTGCGGACCTCTGGCCTCGCCAGCCGTGGCAAAAGCCCGCGAAACCCTGCCGCCACCTTCGGTTTCACCAACTCAGCCCTGCTCGCTCAATCAAAGGGGGAATTGCCGTTAGTTAAGAGAGCCAACCTTGGGGGTAGGGCTCTTGGACCCCCCACTGTTCAGTCAGGGATAAATAAGCCCATGTTCCACAGCAAGGCTGAAGCAGCACCCTGAAACTTCCTCATTCCACCTTGCAGGCCCTGGTGGTCCGCAGAGGCCTCCGGGTGGCACATGCAAGTGCCTTTTGACCCTCAGTCCCCCCCGCACTGCTGCATCTGGCAATGGGAACTCCCAGGACAACCCGCCAAGCCCCAGGCACCCCTCTAGCCAAGGGCTCCTTCCACACTTCCCCGTGCACCTGTGTGTGCACGCGTGAGTGCCTTGCACATGCGCCGCGTGACCGCTACATCCATTAGACCCGATTCAGCCAACCCCCGCTGCTTCCCGAGATCCCTTCAAGCTGGAGTTTAAAGCTGGTGCCTCACCATTAGGCAGCAACGCCTCTGGCTCTCCTCGAGGGCAGCTCTTCCCCGCTGCTCCCAAAGTCTTCCTCGGGCGGACCCGGCCCAAGGAAATGCCAAAGGCTAACTGGAAACAAAAACCAGGAGGACACAATAGTCTTAGCGGAAGGCCGCTCCGGGCCAAGTGCCGGGCAGGAGCAGAGTGCGTTAAGAGTTCTTTTCGTCAGGAAGCAAAGGTCAATGGCTATGCAAAGCCTCGCATTACTAGATGGGCAGGGAACGTGGAAACAGCCTTCCCGACGCGGTGAGATTCGTGGCTCATTTGCCCCACCAAGGCAGCCGCTGAAGTGGAATCGCATCCACCCAGGAGAGGCGAAGGGCCCTTTCCGAAAAGGAGCTCTCTGCCCTGGAGCCAGCGCTGCCACAGACCAGCTACGGAGGATGCGGCCTGGAAGGTCCGGCCGCCTAGTTTCGGCTCTTCCCTTGCGCGAGTTGGAGGGCCTCTGCTGCGCACCCTTCCAAGGGCCAAACTAGCTCTCATCACAAACACACAAACAGCGCAGGAAGAATTGTTGTGACAAAGCCGCAGCCGCGCAAGCAGAAGCGCAATGAAGGGGTGGAAGATGCCTCTCGCAAAGCAGCTCCGTGGAAATGGAGGAGCAGCCATTGCGCAGCGCCGCTCCAGCAAGGCAGGCCTGTTTCTGGGCTAAGCCGGGGTCTCCTTCTGCAAAGGCCTGACCCTGAGGCAGACCCAGCCCTGGAGGGCCTGCTGCTCCCCCTCCGCCTCTTTTTGCTTGGCGACAAACCAACAATCACAACGACTAACACGTGCAGCTTTGTGCTTCGCAATGGAACGCCCTCCCAAATTCCGGGTAATGAGCCCTATAAAAGCAATTCAGCGATGGCACTGATGCAAACTGCCCTTCACGCGCTCTCAGAAGAACGGAGCTGGCAAGCGGCAGAGCTGGGAAACAGGGCCCCCTGCCTTCAGTTTCAGAGGCAGCAGACAGGGCAGAGAAGGGGCACTCCGGCCTTTCAAGCAGGCCACCCGAGAGGACTTGTGGCACCAGCCGCTTCCCAGGCTGCTTGTTCCAACGCAGAGCCATGAGCG